TTGTAAAGGATTTTTTATTACAATTTCTCCATTTACATTCATTTTATGGTATTGATGAATTTTTTGATTACACGTAGTATAATACAGATTCGGTTTTCGTTTAGTGTAGTGCCACAGTTAGATTTGTATACCTATTTAAAGACCCTATGTTACATGAAAAAATGTGATGTCACTTTTCCCAGCTACGATCCAGTTCTAACTGTGAATAGAGTGAATCCATTACTTTACTTATATGGGTAGTCTTTGCTAAGTCATGTATCAAGCTTCCCCTTGAAATTTAAATTAGTGTACTCTAAAGAAGAGTGTGTGATTTTAGCAAACTGGCACATCTCAAGAAAATGTCTGGACACAGGATTCTCTTCATGAACAGCATGATGATTTTCTTCACACTAGTAGCGGGTATGACTTTGCCTGCCTCTTAACACAAACCACAGTTAAAACATAGTATTGACAGTCAGTTCCTCTACACTGCTCTGCCAGTTTCTTCTCGTCTGTCACCGTAACTGGCGATTCTCATACATTGGGGAGCCTGAAACGTAAGGTATGTTTAGCTGCACATTCTGAATTTTTATTCATACCACATAATATTAGTAAAATTTTTTCATATATGCGACATTGAAGAAACATTTGGTGCAGTGATTCCCTAGTGCAACTGATCAAGGCCTACGTTGTCATATTTCACATTTCATAAGTCCAAAATACAATGGACATGAAACTGGTCACAAGCATAACACAAACAAACAAATTAGAAAGACAATACAAAGCTAAACAAACACTGTAACTAATTATTTGCTGTATGCTCCAAAAAATTCATAAGCTGTATAAAATGAGTTGTTCATGAGTTATGAAAATAAATTATTTTTAAAACTGATTCTATCTTACAGATTGATAATCATATGACTTGTAAGGTGCATGTAAATCAGTTACTTCATAAATTGAATATGGTTGGATTCCAAATGCGAAAATTATCTTATATTCTAAACAAAAATAACTTAAAATCTGTTTATTATGCATACTATCATTCTTTAATGAAATATGGCATAATATACTGGGGTAATACCCCTGATTGTCTTAAAGTTTTCGTATGCAAAAAAAGCAATAAGAATAATGATGGGAGTTGGACCAACTTGCTCATGTCGTGATCTGTTTAAGAAGCTGGGAATATTGCCAGTTCCCTGTGTATACTTGTTATCACTATTGACTTTTGTTGTAAAAAACTGTGACAAGTTTTTGATAAATAATACAATATACACGATTGGCACCAGGAATAATAATCTTTTTCATATGCCTGCTTCTCGTTTGTTGTNTCCTTTTACTCCATTGAGGAATTTGTTGACTATGTAAGAAGCATAAAGATAAATGCAGAGTAAATAGTCAGTCAAAACATATTGTTGGTCCTGTCTTTGTTCTGAGTCAAGAGGGCTGTTCTCAATTGTTTTAACATCTAATATTTAAACTAAGAATTGGAAAGTTGAGTTGTATCAATTTTAGTTGTTTGATGTTGTCAACAGAGTTAATATTTTCCTTTCAAATTTGTTATAATTGGATTGACAACTTGCGCTTTTTTGCAAAAGGCCTTATTTATTATTTTATATTTTTATATGTTTTATTTATTGACAACTTGTATTGTTTTCCAAGAGGCTTGATTTATTATTACTTTGTACTTTAGATTTTACATATTACATTTAATGTGTATCTGTATTTTATTGCATGTGACTGTTTGTCTCTGACATGATATATGACAGTTTTTATATCCAGCCCTATGTGGTGACTGTTGGATCAAAGAAATGTATTTTAATAATAATAATAATAATTGTCCAGTTTCCCTTCAGTCAAAATAACTTATTAATGCTTTGAGGGGCTGAGTACTGAACCTAGTATGTTGTATGTAACTTTTGTGTCATTTTTGTTTTATATTTCACTGTATTTGTATTTGTATTTGTATTTATATTTGTTCAAGAAATCCAAAAAAGGATATAGAACATGTCACAGAACTAAATATAAAACAGGATACATGCATAAATTACACGACTAGATAGTACAATGAATCAAACAATAACAAGTTTCAAAGATCCAAAAAATGGATATAAAACATGTCATAAATAATACAAAACATAAAATACTCAGTTATGCTTATCTGGATCCAACAGTATTCAACAATAATAAGTTACAAAGATCCAAGAATGGATATAAAACATATCATAAATAATATAAAACATAAAATACATGCATAGTTATGCTCGTCTAGATGATACAAGAATACAATAAATACTAAAATTTATCTGTTTAAATATTCTTCTATAGTATAAAATGTATGTGTATTCAAAAAATATCTTAATTCAACCTTAAACTTTTTAAAATTATGAGATGAGTTCTTGATCTCTATGGGCAGTTTATTAAACATTTTTATACCCGCGTAGTAAACTCCTTTTTGAAAACTAGTTAAGTTAGCTTGAGGTAGATAAAGATCTTGTCTATGTCTGGTATTTATAGCATGAGAGTCAATATTTGATGAAAAAAGATGTTTATTCTGCAATACAAATATTAACAATGAAAATATGTATTGCGATGCAAATGGTAAAATGTTTAACTCTTTAAATATGTTTCTACACGAAACTCTGTTACCATATCCCAACATCGCTCTAATGGCTTTTTTTTTGGAGAAGAAAAACACTAGAACTATGGGAAGAATTTCCCCAAAAGATAATACCATAGCTCAATAAGGAGTGAAAGAAAGAGTAATAAATTGCCTTTAAGGCTGTAATAGACAAATACTGTTTCATATTTCTTATTACATAACAAGCCTTGCTTAATTTTTTTACAAGTAGTTCAATGTGATTCTTCCATATTAGGGCACTATCAACTACGACTCCCAAGAATTTAGTACTGTACATTATAGGTTACATTGTTTTCAAGGAATAAAAGGGAAAAATTGTCCCCATAATTAATTAAGCACCAGCCTTGAGCCTTGTATGGGGGAGTGGAGGCATCATTGTATTTCCCCACATTCTTAACCTTGGAACAATGTGGACCCTCCAACAGAAGCTTCACAAAAATATAATTAAAATCCTTTGTTTTATTTTATAACTGCACCTGAACTGTCATGAACAGAATTTGGCCCTTCATGTATATTACATGTGAGATTATAAAATATAACCCAATTGATCTTTGCTGGCAGTGGGATGTTCAAGTAAATAAGTAGTGCTGGCTTGACAGAGAGGAAAAATGGCCAGAAGTGGTTTATTATTAAGTAAGTCTTCTTGTTGTAAATGAAAGGTCAACTGGCTTTTTGTAAGTAGTGGTTCCAATAAACAGCTCCAGAAATGCTTCAGTGTACTAGTCACTTCTCTAACTGTACTCGGCCATTGTCTGGCAGTGTCCTTTATATGATTATTTTTATGAGAGATATTTAAAACTAATTAACACCATGGTAGGAGCACCACTGAGGCTGTTCATTAGATACAGTATGGCATTGTCATATGGCATCTAATATTTTAGTCCTGTTTGCACCACTCTTTCATCCTAGGATTCAGAACAGACAATTTTGTTAGATTTACAGCATGGATCAGGTGTATTTACAGTGGCCATTGTTTTAAAATTTTTGTGTATGCTTTTTGAGGAATCGGTTGGCTTTGGTTGCTTGATTTGTACTTAAGAGTGAGATGTAGCAATAGAACAGAGAAAGTTGTGTGATATTTGTAAGGTGATTAATTTGTTAAGTTTGGTGTAGGTAAGGCTTGTACCATGCATCAGTGCAACTCACATTTGAGTGAAAAGTCTTCAAAGGAAAAGATCACCTATGATAGAAGGGTAATATTAAGATAGATCCTAGAGTAATAGATTGTTATAACATGAGGTGGATTAAACCAGTTGATTATTGAGTCCAACAGTGGACTTTAGTCATGACTGACAATCCTGAAGTTCCATAAGACTGCAATTTTTTGACCAGCTCAGTAAGCCATTGACTGTTCAAGGAAGATTTGCCATGAAGTTTATATCATTGCTGTTAAATTACCCAAGATCAGAATCAGAACTGGAGATATGAGATTTCATGTTTTCATACTGGTGAAAATTTGTCTTCTTAGAGAATGACATTGTAATATCATGGGTGGTTACCAGCGAGCTTTTGGAGGGACCTGCTGCCTCAATTTCTGCAGTGAAGTTATGTGTAATGTAAAGCACAAGAGTCTCTGAAATATTAGTAGCCATTTGCAAGGCTATGTACAGTTCTCAGACATTTCTGTTTTTATTTTTTTTATAGATCACTTTTAAAAACATGAGGAATCTGAATGGAGATTTATTGAAACGAAAGCCACAGCCAGACAACTCTGATAGACCAGCGAAGAAAAGTCGGGCATCAGAGAATGGACAAAGCCCCTCAGAAGAATATAGACCAGAGAAGAGAAGTCGGAAATCAGAGGATGAACAGAGCACCTCGCAGAAATGCAGAAGAGATGATGGCAGTGGTGGATTTAGTTTTAATGAAGCCATCAGAGATGTGAGCCCTTAAACTTCACTGTTATTTTGGCATTGTTGAGTCTCTTTGAGTTATTTTTTTGAACATATTATTTTTGAAAATGATTTGTTTCTGCCATCAAGTGTAAAGGAGAAAAGACTCTTTAGTTCGGTCCATCAGAAAGCAGGCTTGATCACTGAATAAGCAGAATATATATTCTATTAATGTCAGATATCATCAATGGGAGAAAATAGATAAATTTGCAGAAAAAGTAAGAAAGAGATAACAAGAAAATCAAACTGAAATTCCTCTTTAGGCAGAGCTGATATCCATTAGACACTTGAAGGACATAAAAATGAGAGGTTCGTCACCAGTAATGCAGTGGGAATACACAAATGACAAAATTTCAACAAGCAACAGGCATTACTTTCACAACTTTCTAATACAAGACACAACACACTCCCAAATACAAAGAACACAAGGAGAAAAAACAGTCACTTACCTACAAGCCAACAAAACACATAGTACAAAACATCAATATAAGACCAGGAAGAATCCCAAAGAATACATCAGTACATCTGCACACAACTACTATATCCACACAAAAAAATAAGAAAATCTTTTACATATATATAACTTGATTGATTTAACATTTTAACAGTTGATATTTAATCTTAGAGGTGAACACACCTTTTATGCATAATGGCATTACATACTACTATACAACAAGTACAGTGAAACCTCACTAATTTGGAATTTGCGATAATTCAGACAATTTTTTTTTGCGTGCTATGACCTTGGTGATCGCATTGCCATGATCAGCAAGATGTAATAAAAGAACGGCACAAAGAAGAACACAAATCAAATTAAGTTCATTTTTAAACAGTTTTAATAATAGTAAGATGTTTTTAAGCCTGATGTCAGAACTTACATCTTTACATTTTATTTTATGATATGCAATCTAAGTTTCAAAATAACATTGTATTGCCTAAAAATCCATATGAAGTTCATTTTATAACTTCCCTGAATATATTTTCAGTAGCAGATCTATATTCGAATGTACTTCTTTTGGCTTATTTTGGACTTCACCCATCATCTGGTATGTAAAAGACAAAAAGACAAAAAACCACGACGTTTCAGAGACTGGATCTGTCTCCATCCGCAGGTGGATAGGGAAGGATAAACCTACTCAGTTGGGCCCCTTAGAGAGAGCTAGTCTCAATCACTGGTGATTGAGAAGCAGGCTAGTTTCAATCCAGTGATTGAGACTAGCTCTTTCTAAGGGGCAAACTGAGTAGGTTTATCCTTCCCTATCCACCTGCGGATGGAGACAGATCCAGTCTCTGAAACGTCGTGGTTTTTTGTCTTTTTGTCTTTTACATACCAGATGATGGGTGAAGTCCAAAATAAGCCAAAAGAAGTACATTCGAATATAGATCTGCTACTGAAAATATATTCANTGAACAAGGATTCATTCCAAATTAGCCAGAATGAATGAAGTCTTACTATATTCCAGTATGTAAAAACTGGCCAATGTAGGGATACTAGTTGATGCATACAGGTGAATGTAAAAAAGAAAGTTAGTACCTCATTCGTCTATCCAGTATCTTCCAGAGCTTTTTGCTTTGGCAGTGTGTATGGTTGGAACATAAACTTGACCATTCACCTCCTCCTGAAACGAGGGTTCAGTTTATGTCCTTGGCTTCATAGCATGCTGCTTTGACACAGGAATGCCATTAACTCATTCATTTTTACACTTGATTGAAGTTCATAGAATTCTTGACAGGAACAGTGACATTTTCAGGATACCAAAGCTGGCATCATAGAAAGAATACACATGAGAAATTTCATGTGCCATTCATCAATGGAGGTCTTCTTGAACCCAAGAACTAATTTTATTGTTGGGAAGAATGGTAGTGGAAAAAGTGCAATACTTACAGCTGTCATAGTGGGTTTAGGAGGTAAAGCCAGTGCTACCAACAGAGGAAGTTCTTTGAAGGGTAATGTATTACAATAAGGTGATCAAATGTGTCAGTTCATTTGTTAATATCTCATATTAATTTAGTTCATTCAAAAGTAATGACTTCTTTACTATTTTTCTAAGTCAGTTCAGTACCAAGAACTATGAACTGTAAATGGTTTACACTTGATATTAACATGTTCATGATGTCTATCATTTTTTTAAACTGATTTCACAGTACAGTCCAGTCCAGTCCAGTATATATAATTAGCATGTCCATGCAGAAAAATCTGCTTTGCAGTAAGTTTTCCTGCCTGCAGCAATAAACTTTTGTATTTAAACTTGAATGTTATTATTACTAATTGCTGCATAGTGTGATGACCAAACGGATACTATGATCGGTGACAGATGACCATACTCTCCAACATCAATTTATAGGCCGCGCCAGAGCTTAAGTGATTAGTCGCTGGCTTCCCACCACTGTGATTTGAACAAGTGGGATTTGTGATAACAAACTGGCGCTGGGGCAGGTTTCCTCCGAGTACTTCGGTTTCCCCTGCCAAATAGGTTAAATAGGCTAAATAGCCGAAACATGTTGTTAATCNAGTTGAGCAGCGGCTAGATATACATAATACAGTCTTGTAAATGCAGCACTTTTTAGATTACTAGCTAAACACCACATAGTATATGTTTAATGTATATTACAACATGTTTTGGCCATATGGGGCCATTGTCAGGTGTAGATGATGTGCTACATTGCTGCACTATACTGTAATACTTCATTTTGCATAAGACATGAAAGGCTGAATGTTTTTTAAAAACCAAGTTGGGTCCTTTTTAAAATAACAAAGAAATATGTACTGTTCATTTTTTCTTATGTTCTTCATTGTTGTTTTTTGTATGTTTTGTTATATAGAGATTCTTTCAGAAGTTTTGACTGAAGTGGTAAAATGAAGACGGTAACTTATATGAACAGATATGTAGAAAAGGTGTAGTACATTGTGCACAGGACATTTTGCTTCCTTTTGAACCCCTTTTCCCCATAAAATACCAACATCTAACCCTCCAAAAAATCTCAAGACTCTGCCATATTAATTTATCGGGATATTTAGTGCCTTTTATGCATTAAGATCAGAACTCCATCAACCAATTCAGTAAATTTTGTAAAATAATGACAACTTTAGAAATGGATGCATGTCGTCAAGCCTTATTGACTGAATTATAAAACATGATAATTTACAATCATGATACTGTTTGTTAACTTGATACTGAAGAAACTAAGAATTTGACTTAAAAATTTAATTTTGTTTATATTACATGAAAGAAGATTCATCTCAAATGTGTGTCAAATTCTGGAAATGTTCCTTTTTATTCCAGAATTCATAAAGAAGGGTATGAACACTGCCACCATTGAAATAACACTGAGGAACACTGGACACTGTAGTTACAAGAAATCTCAGTATGGAGACCGCATAATTGTAACAAGAATCATAAGTAATACAACTGGTTATTGTGGCTACAAAGTAAAAACAGAACAAGGTATTGGACTTTCATTTCCTCTGCTTTCCCCTCCATTTCAGTACCAATATTGGATGCTGTCTGCTAGCCTAAAGAACAATCATGTTTAGTTTCAGTACATTGGTATTTTCCAGTTGTCTCCCTTCTTTACTATTTGTTTAGCAGCGCGCACTGTGGGCCAGCAGTGATCACAAGTGTTGGGGATGGGGTTTTCTCTTAGGTTATAATTAATGCATTGAAGAAATAACTTGGCCAAAGTTTGGTCTTGCAAAGTTTTTATAGCCCTCAGATTAATCTCCCGGTTCAGTTAGAGGTTCCAGCAATTACATATTAAGTCTACATATCTGTATAGCACTACATGCAACGCATTTAATAAATTACTTCCCATTTTGTTTCCTGTTTTAGGTGAAGTAGTTTCTAGCAAGAAAGAAGAATTGGACAGAATTGTGTCAGCATTCAACATACAAGTTGACAATCCTGTATCACTTCTGAATCAGGATGCTGCTCGAACATTCTTAAACAGCACTGATCCCCGTGATAAGTACAAATTATTTATGAAAGCAACACAACTAGAACAAATAGAGCAGATGTATGAGGAGTCCATGTCAGATAAACGATGGGCCATGGCCATGGTAAACTCCAAGAAAGAGGTTGGTGTTGTGTATAAATATTTATGAAGATATGAACTGGACGTATAGGGCTGACACTGGCATTTCATGCTTATGTTTATTAGGTGCTCTGTTTGAATCTCAGCTGATAACCAGCTATCTTGAATGATGTTTTTCATGGTTTTCTCAGTCCCACCAGGCAATGTCAGGATAGTACCTTGCTTAGGCTATGACTGCTTCCTTGCTTTACAATTTATTAAGCAGCCTATCATTGAACACTGTGTAATCCAAATACTGACAGTGTTGTAGAATAAACTACAAAATAAAAGAGTATGGAGAATTCAAATAAATTGAGTCTTTTGATATAGGTTCTTAGAATGTAGATTTGCTCATGTCTCTCTTTAAGTCAGAAATTAGGCTTGCAGATTGTTTACACTGACATGGATGATTGAATAAGGTAAATGACATTAATTTTGTTTTGATTAGACAAATTCACGATAATTTGCTTTGAAAGCCATCATTTTTATTAATTTCATCACAAAGTAAAATCACTGATGAATGGTTTTATGCAATTTACTTTCATTGAAAGTGCAGTCTTGTTTGTTTTTATGGTTGTAAATGAAGTTCTATATGAATTCCACTGAAAATGTAATTATTTCTGCAATAATAGAAAAGTTTGTAATCATGCAGGTGAAAAGGCAAAATGCCAGGGGCAATGAAATCTTCTTGTTAGATCAGCGTTGTCAGTGTATGGAGTTGGTCTGTGATATTTAAGAGACTGTTTCAGTTTCCATCATCAGGGTGTTGATGTGTTGAGCATTGTGTTCACACACTAGGCAGAAAACAGTTAGCCATCCCAGCCTGGACAGCATAAGGAATGACAGGCAGTCAGATGATTAGTGATGCCATGTCCTAGTGCGAACTGTATAGAGAACAATCATTCAATCATCAGAACTGCTATTGCTTTTTGCCGGTCCCTACAATACAGCCAACTCTTAATGGCCTCATTAGCTAAGTGGCCTATGTAATCTGTCATTTTTGCCATTACTGTGATATCCTTGAGGTCTATTTTAAGCTCAGCTGCCAACTAGATAAAGTTATCAGTGGTAGAGCAATGAATAATCGTCAGGGACACTACTGTACTGGCAAGAATGATGGGCTACATGTATCGCTTATTTAAGGAGGCTGTTGAGATGTGGCTGCACATTAGAAACTTTAACAAAGGTACAGGATTCCCTACAACTCGTTCATGGTAGCTTGCCATGGTCATAACAGAACAAGAGAACTAGAAAGATTTTGTAAAGAAGGACCAGTGACAAACAATTCAGATGACCATCTGACTTTCCCATGTGGGCCACACAGAAACAGGACATCACTGAGCATCTGACTGTGCCCATTGTTCCCCATATTGTCCGGGCTAGGACTGATGACAGCTTTGTAAGTGTAGTATGTAAACACAACACTTATGATATCCAGCCCTGAAACATCAAACACTAACTCCACATTGAAACTGACACTCACACCATAACACATTTTTGTGTACTGTCACTGTGAAAGATTTGAAATTATATAAAAAGGCAGGAAAAATATATATTATGATGTGTATAGTGCATAAGAATGTTTTCGTATACACAGATTGTAGTAAGCAAAGAGATATTTTAGTTACAGGATATTCAACTTGTATGACATGCTTTACTGATGCTTGTGGTGCACATACTTGCCTTTGTAATTAGACCAAAAGAATACAAGCAAAACTGATAATTCTAGGCTGAGCGGTATCTCATTTTACAAGAACATGGGCACTGCTGAAATGAACGGTTTTGATGTTGATCCTATACTAAGTGCTTCACACCTCAGGTCTTATTGAGCTACATGTTGTCTATGTCTTCTCAAAGTGAAGAGGATGGATAAGTGTTCATGAATATGTAAGTTTTGGTCCAGAGAAAAAATTGGTGAAAGGGTGGGGACCAGTGCCCAGTCCTTTCCACTAAGGACAGTGAACAGGGATATGTGACCAAAATTGGTCCTTTTAAGGGCCACTCAGTACACAAAAACCATCCTTGGTGGCCTGGACTGGGCAGCAGTCCACATGCTTCTCTCTGTGGGTGTGTTGGGTAAGAGGCTATACATGCACACACAGTCACTCAACTCACTTTGGCCCTGAAGATGGAGGCAGCATGTACCTCCAGAAAGTTGGCAACACTGTCCACTTCCACACAGTGCAAAGCTTCAAGAGCAGGATCAACATCAACCACCTTGAAAGCCTGTTATAAGTAATGAACAATTTTGTTTACTGCTTTTGAAACAGATTTCATTTTAGTCACATGTACATCCATATACCAAGATCAGTTTTCCAGCTAGTTGTCATACTTCAGGAGTCTTTGCTATGAAATTTTAGAAATTGAAAATTATTAGTTTCTGATTTTAAGAAATCTGATTTTATTGGTAGGCTCTTCATGTAGCGAAGAATGAGGTAACTGAACTGGGGCACAAATGGAGAGCAGTTCAGTCACTCAGCAGTTACAGAAAGAAGTCAAGAGAGCTGGAAAATGAGTTATACTGGGCTGTTGTAAGTTGTTAATTATTGTCACCATTATTTTCTTTTGCATATGACAGTTTTTCATGCCATAAAGTCCCTTCAGGTTTGTTCTTTAAGTCAGCCTCATATAGATTTTGTATGTGGTTGGTCCACTGCCAGCTTTATGAAAATCAGTGCCAATAAAACCAGAGTTGTAAGATTTGAGGTTTTCATGGCGGTGACTATGAAGAAAGCAGTCTTCTGGGATGTGGCGCTGTGTAGAAATGGTGGTAACCGATGTTTTGGAGGAACGTATCACCCTAGACTATTTGCACTTGCTCACGCTGGTTCTTCGCTTGCAGATTTTCTTCTTTTTTCTTCTGCCCTGAAGATGGAGGCGATACGTTCCTCCGAAACGCCGGTTAACACAATATCTACACGGTGCCACATCCCAGAAGACTGCTTTTTCCAAAACCAGAGATATTTCTATTATGTAAAAAAGTAACATGTAATTATTTGACTGTATTATACATAATCTTTTATAGCTTATGACGGTATTAAGAATTTGAGACTGTTTTCATCTTCATATGAATCCTATTTTGTCTCATGTTATTAGCACAAAATATGAACAGATGACCTACATCTCCTGCACCAACACTTGCATACTCTTGACATGTGTAATAGCAGAGTAATAGCTGTGCACAGGCATAGATCATACTGTCTCTCCTGCTCACAATAATGGTCTTCATCTTCCCAGATTATGTGCACCTATTGTACTTCTGCTGACACCAACAAGGTGGAAAGCATTCAGTGCAGTTTTTCACTCTCTCTCTCGCAGTACCACGCATGAAACATTTTCTGTAAATTTTATTTGCATTACCAGTACTTATTCTTTAAGTTTATTTATTTTGCTCTTGTTCTGGCAAGAATTACTTGAAAATTATGAGTTTAGTAAATGCAATTTCTGTGTAACATTTTTATTTCTCTTATGGGAAGGCAGTGTCAGAAGAGAAAGTGGCAGAGAATTTGAAGCAAGACCTCGAAAGTCAGAGAGCACAACATCCAGCTTTACAGCACGATGCTGACAAGGAAGCCAAATTGGAACAGAAGCTGAATCTTCTTTTTAAGTAAGAATGACACAATTTATTGCTGATATAAATACCATTCTATAGCTGTAATGGTTCAGACTGTAAGGTAAATGCACAGTTGTTCTTTGCTTAATTCCACACCTTGCCATGAAGATATGGGGGTTCGAGGTATAGCTTCAGGCAGTGGTCAGTTTCATACCCCAGTCAATTTATCGCAGGGAAGGAAACCCTTTTACACATTGTACAGGGCACTGGGTAGGCCCCAGAGCCAGTGTATGCTTGTGTAGAAAACTCTCTTACCCCTGCCAAGAATGGAACCACTGTTCCTTGGTTATCAAGCTTGTAGCCTAGTCACTATGGTGACTGAACTAACTCAGCTCTTCTACACATTTCAGTCTTTAGCTTCAATATGTCTACCGTTGTGACTTGCCTTTTCACCTTGAAACATAATGTACCACCACACTGGCTGGTTGAAAAACATTGACTGCGATAATAAAGTTATCATGATAAAACGGGGTATTAAAGCACTGTATATGCAGTAAATTTAAAGCTTTCTTGATGATCTGTATATACATGCTCGTCTTGTCTGCTATGTTTGTAACCACTGTTGGTTTCTGTTTTGTGATTGTTACAGGGAAGTGGAGCAGCAAATAAATGAGATAATGTCCAGGTTATCTGAATGTGAGGCTCAGTATAAGGGAAGTAGAGAGGAAGTGAATCGTAGGAAAGAAAATTATGGGCGGAAAATGCAGGAACTTAAGACTTTACAATCAAGAATATGCCGAATGGAGAGCAACATTAATACACTGCTTCAAGAAATAGATAAAATAAAAAATAAGTGAGTCATATTTTTGTACTAGCTTTAACAATTAGGTCCTCCTGATGTAATAAAATTAAAAGGGCATTTCACTGTCTAATATGGTGAAATCCCATTTAAAATCTAAGTATCAAGTAGAAACTGAACTGTCAGAACCCTCACTTGTATTCCAAATAGAACTGGCAAAAGTTTAAAATCAGTTTTATATGTTACTTGAGTTTTATGAAATTATAAGTATGTAACTGTCTATTTCCTGATATATTTTATTCCCTAAATAATTGGTAACTATCAGCTGTATCTTATACTGATAAAGAACCTGAAAATTCATTACCATCACTGCAGACTCTTTTAACTTCATTCTTCCTTAGTTATTTCTATACAGTTTATATTCTGTTTCTCTAAGATCCATAGTGTCATATAGTCTCCATGTTTAACTGAATTGAAGATTTTTTAAATGTTTCTGTAGTTAAAATGAGTTATCTTGAATTGTAAATTTTAGAAGGTTGATGTTTTTAAGATGTATAATATATGTGCCAACATTTGTGCATTATTGTGCTCTCAGTGTAGCAGATGAGAAAGGGAAACAAATATGTTTTGTGGTCAGTAGCCACAAGCCATGGCGACCTTGCCCAAAATGCCATGAAAGGTATGAGCCAAAGGCACTTATTCCCCATGAACAGATATGGTATTATAGTGAGAGTGAAGAGGCTGGGAATTGTGAAGGCAAAGGAAATAAGAAAGAAGATAACAATGGTAAAGAAGACAGGTTTTATTGATTAAACTGAATAAATAATAGTGATTTCAAGATCAAAAGTAGGGAGACTGATTTAATAAGTGTAACATATAAAATAATGTAAAGTGTTTGCTTGTAATGACATGTGAAATTTAATGTATAAAATTGCTTTTTATGTTTTGACATTTTTCGTAGTTTGAGTGTTGTCCTAGATTCCAAATCATCTTCCATTTGCGTATTATTATCTTTTTTATTGCTAGTGGGGTGGGACTAAGTCCCTTGTACTGCGGCCACTTCTGGCCTATTGTACCAGCCCCAGGTGATAGGTGAGGGTGTTTGTGGAGCAATTGGTGGAATGAAGATTGGCAGGGGAAACCGAAGTACTTGGAGAAAACCTGCCCCAGTGCCACTTTGTCCACCACAAATCCCACTTGACCAGACCCGGGATCGAATCCGGGTCGCCGCGGTGGGAAGCCAGCAAGTAACCGCTTGAGGTATGGCGTGGCCTGCCATTTAGGTAAATGTGATAGTTAATCCCTGTTGCCATGAAATCTCCATTCTGTAAGGCTATGAACCAAGCAGTGATGAATAACACATAAGCTCTGTATACCTAATTAAGGGGTTAATATAACCTTTCATCATACCTTAGTTTCCTCATAACTTTCCATGAAATTTTACAATAAAAATTTCATAATTTGTTTTCATTCATGCTATTATATAAACACACTGCTTTAACCATTCTTTAAAAGAACCACACACACACATGCATGAACACACAATAACTGCAGTAAAACAAGAAGTTGAGAAACATTTGTAGCCTCTTATCATCAAAATTACGGTGAGAGAAATTTTTTATATTGTGACGTGCTGAGCTATGGATGACGCCCCCCCCCCCCCCANCCCCTTGTAATGTGTTTGAGGTTGGAATTGAAGGATTAGAGGGGAGTAATTTTTTATATAGGTCATTCTTTTTATAGTTCTGGTCCAGACTATGCTGCTAGAAGGCAAAGAATCTGCCATGAAATTCAAGAGCTGGAGAATAAACATGCAGATGTCCAGGCTACACTTAAAACAAACAAACATCATTATTTCCAGCTAAGTGCTAATGTTCAAAAGCTTAAGAGTGAAGAATACTCACTGAAGCAGGAATTGCAAGAGAATTTGAGGAAGATTGGTATGGAATTTTCAATTTGCACATGTTTTTAATTAGGTTCTAAGTGAAAACTTTAATGGTTTAATTTTTCTAAATAAATTTCATGATTATTTTCCAATGAGATGAATGGTGCATGTGATTAATCATTTGATGATTTACCTCTGTCACCCACTGAGATCAGAATATGCATAATGCAACACCTACAAGTGCTCAGTACTAGACTAGAATAGAATTTCATTTCATTCCATAGGTCATTCATAGTACTCAGCCAAGGGTGTAATACATGTTATAATACAAATAAAACACATGGTTGTTACTGCTGTTTACGGACATCTTATAAGAATGTGACATTTTTCTGAACAAAATTGTCAAATATTTTATCTTTATAGAGAGTGAGAACTAGAACTGTCGATCACAGTGGCTGTGTGGTCTAAGGCATGAACTGTTTTCTCTCACTCATATGCCGAGATCATGGGTTTGAATCCCACTCAAGGCATAAATGTTTGTGTGTGCGTTTATGCTGTGTTTGTGTTGTCCTGTATGTAGGTAGCAGCCTTGCAACAGGCTGATTGCTTGTACAAGGAGAACTACCATCTGTGTAAAAAAGATTATAAAACTGAAGAAGAGGCCAGGGCCCAACAAAGAGCTGAAGAGACTGATGAATGAATGAAGAACTAAAATTAAACTTAGAATAGACATACATTAAAATGGAATCATAACTTAACTATAATGGCCCCAATGCTTTATAATTATTCACTGTGGTGAAAGTGTTTAATTCCCTTTGTCCCTCTTGTAAGTGAAAGAAACTGGCATAAAAATTGTTGGCACTGTAAGTAAAAAATAAATTATTACTCCATTGGCATACTATTTCAGTTTCTGCACTTGGAACATGTATATAGAATTAACTAAAGGATCTAACCATTTGAGGTTCCTCTAAATAATGTCTAAAGATTCAGTTCCTACCTTATAGAAAACATGCTATGTCTGCATTACAGAGACCATCTGGTTAATGCTTTTTAGGCAAACAGTTGCTGTTTATTGTGAGAATCATATGAAATGCACAGATGCACCCTATGACCAAATACAGAACTGTTAAATATTAAAGAAGGTGATGCATGTAATAATCACCATGATTTTAAAGCTTGAAGAAATGTCTCCTCAGTATCACAGAATTTCATGTAGACAGGATTTTGTCACCTGGGATACAATGCAGTGTAGTCTGTTGAAAGTCTACCTATGTTTTGGAGGCTACATGTGCCTCAGGAACATCACTTGATTTTCAGTGGACTACATGCTGTTATATCCCAGAAGATAGTACTCCTCATAACAACTGCTCTGAGAACCTCAACTCCTACTTCATGTAGGCAAGGTACTTAATACTGCTAAAAGGTAGATGTCCTGCAGTCATTGAAGTATTCCACTCGACTGTTATTACAATCTGCGCGACAAAAATAAAAAATATCAAAATTGTAATTAAAGGTGGGCTCATAATAGCAGTTTTTACTATGTGTTTTTTAGTTTAAAAGAATTTGTGTCACATTTTTTATTTACAGAACAAAAACAGAGAGAAATTCAAGCACTGAAGAGAGATACAGACAATTCATTGACAGTGTTCGGTGCTTGGGTACCACGTGTAGCGCAGAAGATAGAGGAAGCATTCAAGCAAAGGAAATTTCGAAAGATGCCCAGAGGACCTGTTGGTATGATGAACCTTCCTACAATCAAAATTTATGTTTAATAAATAATTTTAGGTCCAACAGTACCATTATATAGGCAATCGTGTTAAAGGAAAGACCACCATATGAAACCCTAATTTCCACTGTGTGATCAGTTATCACATGCCATATTACTTCAAATATAAGATGCATATTTTACACATTTTCCCCCCACTGAAAGATTGAGGTGCATCTTAAGTTTGAGGAGTATGCATCTGTATAATTTTTTTCCTAAAACTAACATTCAAACCCTGGATGCATCTTAAATTTGAGGTTGTCTTATATTCGAAGTAATGTGGTAATATTTGCTGAAAGATTACAAGAATGATTATCAAATTATTTTCAAAACTACAGTGTCTTCCTTGTTAGCTGTAGACTAGAAGCATTGCAACATACCTAATTCTGCCCTTTCAGTTATTTTTATAATATCTTTATTGTAGTGAAGGTATGAATGAAATGGCATTAGATTTCTGTCTGAATGAGTGTGTGATATTGAAGCAGCTTTAAATTTCTTTCCAAGCATATCTGATGCTACAGGTAAGGAGTTTGTTAGGCCATGATTGTATTTCCCCCAAGCTTTCCAGTTTACGTTATATCATCTAATAACTTCACTTGACATTTAATTCTTTGTTGTTGTATATCATATATAAATATGTAATATGTTGTTTATAGTAGGGTTTTAGATGGTACAAAAAAAAACTGTTCACCAAATGCAAGAACATCGATTAGGATTTCACTGTATTTAGAATATTATTTTAAAGTAAAAATTTTCTTCATGGATGATGTATGCCTTATTTCTTCTGTTCACTTGTTGTATGATCACCCATTATACTGGTATAATAGTAATACTGGACTTGTATTTGGGAAGTATCTACTTAAAATGTCAGGTTACTAGCTAACTGGCTGTGATTGTTCATGGTGTTCTTCAGTCTATTCAGGCAAATTCCACTGTTACCTCTTTCCAAATCCTTATCATCTCACCACTCACAATCATCCGGTCATCTCACTCAGTGCAATGATGTAAGTAGTTGGAGCAGTGTAGTTGTTAAATAATCTAAGAATGAAATGTCTTTTGATAACTGGTTTTAGTTATGTTGGTTTGTTGTGCATAGAAAGTGCAAGCTTCATGCCTTAGGACTTCAGCATTGCCATTACATTTTTTCATTTACAGGTGCATATATAAAACTGGAAGATTCGTCTTGGGCACCAGCAGTTGAATCTTTCCTGGGACCATTCCTGAGATCATATTGCGTGGATTCTTCACATGATGCTGCAGTGCTTACACAAATTTTCAATGAAGTACTGGGTAAAGAAAGGAAACCTGTAATAAATACGAGCAGGTTTTTTGACAAGGTTGGTTCATGTACCTTTGTAAAGAACTGAAAGTTTTTTAACAGTAAGTGGTCAGTTATACATTTGTATTTATTTTTCTTGCGTAGTTTATGTATTCTACAGATTTCTGTTTAAAAATTTCAGTGCAAGTCTTAGGAGGGTTAAATTTAGCCACAACTCAGTAAAGTGATAAGCTGAGGGTTCATCCCTAAATTCACTGCTGTCTCATGAAAGTATGTCAAATTGCAAGTTTCAGTGGCCTTATACAGTCTCAAAAGATGTTAAGTTTATGAGCTTACCACTGTAACCACTCCTGTGTATGACTTCGAATGGGGGAGACTAAAAATGCAAGCAGAATTTTGGTTTGGGAAATCTTAGAAGAATATCTAATTGCAAAATTGTGAAAGTGATGGTAGAATAATTTTAAATTGTATCTTAACCTCACATTACTGTAGGCCGTAAATTTAATAATTTTTGGATTGTAGATTGTATCTTCTGAAGTTTGAATCAGATTTCATAGGGAAATCCTATAATATCTGCACAATATGAGGGTGTGATTTACATTATCTTTGTAAGCCAACTTGTGTTAGTTCTCAAAGCAGTCAAAACAGACTCCATCACAGTTTTGACACCAGTAAACTACCCTTTTGGCATGTTCTGATGTGGTTAGGCTGTCTTAATTTTTCTAATAAAAATTTTTCCAGTAAGTCACAATACTGTATTGTTGTAGGAACCCAGGTCTGGTCAAGTGGGATTTGTGGTGGACAAAGTGGTGCTGGGGCAGGTTTTCTCCGAATACTTTGGTTTCCCCTGCCAATCTTCATTCCACCAGTTGCTCCACAATCACCCTCACCTATCATCTGGGGCTGGTACAATAGGCCAGAAGTGGCTGCAGTACAAGGGACTTAGTCCCACCCCACTAGCAATAAAAAAAACACACCACATGTCAGGTCACAAATGAAACCTCCAACATAGAAGCTAAAGATATTATGATCTGGAACCTGGTCACACCTATGACCTGACTCTGTGGGCAGTGATAGATGAGCATTGAGCAATAATGGAATGATTAGGAGGAGAAAACCAAAGAACTTGGAAAAGAACCTTGTCACTTCAGAATCTCATGTGGCATTACCTAGGCCTATGTAAAGAGAAGCCATTGTCTTAACTGCTTGAGCTATGGCATTGCCTAAAGAGGCCTCCATAGTCTAGGGGTAACGTTCCCACCTCATGACTCAAGGTACGCAGGTTCAAACCTGGCAGAGGTCATGGATTTTTTAAGGGCGGAAAAATTCATGGAACAATTCCTCCGGGAGGGATTTTAAGCCATGGGTCCCATGTCGTAGATTTACGGCACGTAAAAGATCCTCATATCTCTAGGAGACCTCTGAGCAAAATTATGCAACAAGTTTCCCGCCCAAGTAGTTTCCAATGCCTCTAGTAGATGGGGGAAATATCAGGTATCGAGGGCCGAACGGGGCTGATAGCACGCAGCAGTACCGGTAGTATATGGCAACAGTAGAAATTAAAGGGGGACGCACAATGGACCAATAACTGGTCTAAGTGCATGGGGAAACCCACCCCCTCTGATAATAATATGGCATTGCCTAACCTCTTGTGACTTGTAAATAATAGTAAATATCATTTGTACGTCCATAGCTGGTATATTATCACATGGTTCGGATCAATATTCGGATTTTTGGCACTGATTCTGTTGTTACACATTGCTAGGTTTCAGTCTCTGACAATGGGGACTTCTGTTAACTTCCAGGCCATCTGTATATTGCTTTGTTGTAGATTGATTAGAAAACACCTCACCCACATTTCCTCGACTCCTCTTTGTACATGGCTGTCAGTGATTGGTGTTTGACATTACCTAGCAATGGACGTGTCTGGAAAATTTCTTGGATTTCAAGATTCTGACTTTTAGGCATCACAATATTTTGCATCTGTGAAGAACTCTGTTGGGAGCTGTGTTTCTCCAGAGTGGAATATGTATGCATTTGTTATTTTCAGATACATAATGTAAGCAGGTTTGCAGTGCAAGCAGATGGCTACCGTAGTATATTGGATTCTCTCATAGTCTCAGATGTCATTGTATATAACAGTCTGGTAGATCAGCGTGAGGTGGAGACAATCCTGCTTATTCCAACCAGCAGAGAAGCATGTGAAATAATGAGTAATGCAAGACAGGTACCTAGGAACTGCAAAAGGGCAATTACCAAGAAGGGTGATCAGTTCTATCCAGACCCTAATTACAGGATGTATGCTGGAGATGGAAATACAAGAGCAAGATATCTCCAAGTTAGCATGCAGAATGCTATTAGGTATTGATAAAACCTTACTGATAAGCATTTACCACGAGACTTTTGATTTATGAACACATGGCATTTTGACCTAAATTAAAAGTATCTGTAATTGTAAAGATTTTGGTGTACTGTTAAAAATTTAATATCTGAATCTCCATTAAGAAAAATAGAGTTATTGCTCCCTGTGACAGGATAATGTTCATTAAAAAGGATGTACAGCTTAATTTAAACACATTTGCCTTAGGCAGAGTTGACCAAAGGAAAAGGCATGCCCATTGTCTGTGCATCTTCTTGCATTCGGATGGCAAAATGTCCATGATATATACTTTCTAGTACACAACATGTGATGCTTACAAGAAAACAAAATCACCATCTGTAATATTTTGCAACAAACATAAGATTGGTGTAAGAGACTATCGTATTATTCTTTTCAAAGGAAATCTGTGAAGTGGTGGAACGAAACTGTTGTATTGTCTGTTTAACAATGCTCTAATAACTATGCACATTTTGCAATGAATGAGGAACAAATAGAAGATTTGATGCCATAAATTTCTACAAAAGGTGGTAGAATGAATTGTGATTGATATGGGTGTAGAAATTAATAAGCAGTCATGGGGATGGTTCTGTGGGAACATGTGGACAGAGACCATTTCACTTTAGGATCCCAGCAGTGTAATCAAAAGTCAGGAGAGACCCACTGTATGTGTAAAGTCTGTGCAGATGGGGCAAACATCACTCCAGAAAGACCTTTAGAAGAAAAATTCATCCAAGTGTACTGCTTCAAGTCCAGTGTAGGGCTCTATTATGGTGAGTGTTCTGAGATGAACAGCAGTGCAGACTTTTCGCTGTTAATTAATAGAGCATAAAACAATCATATATGTATATCAAGTAATATTGTAATTGAATGATGGAATAGTGGTAGCGGTGATAACACTTCTGGCATCCATGTTCTTTCTGCAACCAAAAGTGAATACCTAATTTTGTTCTTGGATATTGTGTGAATTTTTGTTACATGTATCACAGTATCTTCAAAAATGGAGATATATATTTTTTTCTTTTACCTTTATAAACCTTCTGCTCAGTGTAATGGATATTTAGATGCCACCAAGTTCAAAATATTGAGCAGTGGTGAATTTGAAAGAAAATGCACATACTGAGTAGATCAGATGGTGGCATATACAAGAATAATTTAATTTTTTTCCTTTGTATAGCACTGCAGAAGATCATCTTAAGGGTCACCATTTTCAGAAGGGAGAAGTGGAGAAGCAACTTAAAGTAGTTCAGGAACAGTTACAAACAAACAGCAATGAATTAAGAGAGACAGGTGCTGTAATAGAGAAGCTGAATAAAGAAGACCTCTCTTTCATGACAAAACTCACACGACTGAAGGATATGGAAGAACCTGAACCTAATAGTATCGCTACTCTTGTGAGTGTATTAAATTTCCTGTTTAACAGTCAGTTTTAGCTTTTAAATACAGCTGGCAGTGTGTCCAAGGTAGAGGTTCTTAACAAAAATATGTTGTTTGCATTCAAAATATTAAATTTAAATCATTAGACGTATTAAAAAAGACCCTTACATACTGACTTCTTCAGGACTTGCAGGAAGAAATCTAAAGATTGGAAAACAACTCAGTAATACTTGAAATCTGGTTACTTCTGTATTTGGCTTTCCCCATTATGTGAGTAGGAAATTTTCATTGTTGATAGACTGCTGAGTTGGAAGAACACACGAGAAAAAAGGATGAAATATGTAAGGAACGTGATGCATTGCAAGCAGAGTGTCAGCGGTTAAAACATGAGGTGGAAAAGGCTGAAGAAAAATCATTGAAAATTCGTGATACTTCAACAGCCATTCAAGTTAAAGAACGTCCTCTTCGTGTAAGTACATTAGTGTGATTTTTCTTTCTCTCTGAAATACAGTTTGGGTGTTAAGTTACATTATTGTATTTTGGTATGAAAGGTACATTGTGATAATTTTTTATATAGGATAAAATGAAATAATTTCAGGCAAAGAGAGAAAGTGTGCAAAATGAATTAAAGGAAATCTTATCAAGAAAGATATTTCAAGAGGAAAGATTGAAAGAATTGTGTCAAAAGATACAACAGATAGAAACTCAACTGCACAAGCAACAGGAAGTTGCTAAGAAGGCTGTAGAAGATGGAACAAAAATATGCCCAAGGATTGATACGAAAAGGTAATACTAATGCCTTTAATTTGGAGTTAGGTCCAGACATTATACATACTTTCAGGTGGTTTGGTTTATTCTGAGTTGAGGTTTCATTCTGTGTTTCCTTGTATGATGTAATACGTTCTGTTTTATAATAGGCCTCCTAAAATAGTCGAAAGAGAGCTGAATGAATGTAAGAATTACATGGAAAGCATGGAGAAACATTCTGGAGCATTCGAAGAAATTTGTGTTTCCTATCATGAGAAGAAAACAAAGTATGAGCAAATAGCAGAAGACATCAGGCTTTTGGAGAAAGAATTGGCAGTATGTAGAAATGTTAATCAACAGCATAATCCAGGCTGTATCTTTAATATAATGCCTGTCACTAGCTGAGGACTTCTTAAGTAACGTACAGATATGAGTACGAAGGTTGTCACTTTTTAAAGCCATTTGCATTATCTTCTATTAGCTCAAATCCTGTTCATTGTATATTTGTCTCCAAGCTATTCCCATTCGATATATGCAACTTCACATTGTGACAGAACCTCTGTTAGTTGCTTGGTAGGTCATGACATAATTTACAGATTTAAACCTTCCGTTGGTATTCTTTGATTATGCAGGTTAGCTTAAGTCGTGTATGCACATTTCCATAAAATCCATTACAATATTTTCTTGCCATCTTCATGTAAGTCTCCCAAATGGTTTCTGTACAAAATTTTTCAAGATAAGTTTTGCACCATGTATGCTACCTGCCTGCTTGGATGCGTCAAACTTGGTATTTTAACGACTAAGATTGCAGCAGTCAATTTTTTGTAAAGTGACTAGCCTGTTGCATTTTCTGTGAAAGAAACCTTTGGACCCTTACAGTTACAATTCATGGCTTAGACTTTTTGAAAAATGCAAGTGTTAGTTCTTTGCCAACTGGGTGTTTCAAGTTACATTATCCAAGAATGAAATTTCTGTTATCTACCATTTACACTTCTGTTTCTGTGATTATGTAGTATATTCTTCTATGTTTCAGCATATGGAAGACATGATCAGAGCACGCAAGAAAACATTCTACGCAATTCAGAAGTTAAGTAGTGTACGTGTGCAGCACATGTTCCAGAGTTTGCTCCACCAGCGCAACTACACAGTAAGGATCAGAATAATTATCTGAGAGAGTAGTTATCAACATTTTCTGATGTTCTGATCTGAGAATCAGTTCCCTATACAACTCACATTGTGCAGTACAAATAGGATACAGTACTAGACAACTAAACATGTTTATTTGTGATATAAAAATTAGTACTTTAATTTAATACTAACATTCAAACAAACAAACATTCTGGAATAATCACATAACTCTAAACAAGTGGATGACACCCTTTATGAGGTGGAATAGGATTTTACAAATCATTTTAATAGAAAATTTTAATGGAATTTAAAGTGATTATTTATTTTAAGTGGACTGCAACACACGATTTTAGCGCACTTCAGAACAGTGTAACAGTTGGACACATTACAACACCTGAAGATGGCCATCTGTGGCTGAAACATGTTGTGTTGAGTGTCAAATGGTGAATAAACAATTGTTGCATTATAGACGGACTGAATACATGGACATTTGAATAAAAATTTGCAACTGGATGCTGAAATACGCAATTAGTACTAAACTTGAGCATTGAACATCATATTAAAATTTAAGCATGAGGGCATACTGGTGTGTACTGGAAGGAATGATGATCATAAGTGACAAGGGGTTGAACTCAAACTACATAGGTTGTACTGAAAGTCATGAGCAACTTTTATTTTGCATGCAACCTGGGAATAGCAGATGAAAGGGAGTATGGTGATAGGTGGAACCAGCTGTTGTGTTAACCTTGAGTGTCTTGTGACATCAATAGCTTGCATCACATGACCAGTATCATTCCTAACAAAATGGCCGACAGCAATATGTTGTTTTGCCAGTGTGCTGTCATCGAATTTCTTGTGAAAGAGGAAATCCCTGCTGCAGAAATTCACAAGACTTCAGCATGCTTATGGAAGTGTGTGCATGGGTGCGAGCAGTGTTTGAAGATGGGTGAAACATTTTAAAGATGGGAGCACCAGGATCAGAGATGAGCCTCGGAGCGGTCGTCCTCCAGCAGCCTCAACTGAACGCAACAAGGAAAGAGTGGATGAGGTCATTCAAGATGACAGGCTTGTGACTGTGGACACAATAGCCTGAAAACTTGGAATAGGGCACAGTGCAGTACAGGAGATGATTGAAAGCTTGAGCTATAGGAAAGTTTGTGCTTGTTGGGTCCCGTGGTTATTGACCGAAGACCACAAAGGTCAGTGAAAAGCCATCACCTCAGAACTG